ATTGAAATGAAAAAACATTTTGTTTTTGTTATAAAATGTTACATTTATATTTTTGTTTTTTTGTATTATTATTATTTAGTTTTTTCCCAGTATAAATATATCGTATATAAAGTATATAAAAAAAAGTTCATTAAAAAATTACACATACTCTTTATGTTGTTGTTGTTGGTGTTTTTTTTTTCTTTCTTTCTTTTTTTTTGCGCTTACAAATTGTATCTCATTTTTGCTTTAGTAAATTTCGTTTGTTTTTCTCTGTCTTTTAAAAAGTACATAGAATATATATAAAATGGGGTTGAGGGGGTGTGGCATATATATCAGTATATTGCTTGCTTGTTGTTTTTTTCTTTCTTTTTTTTTTCATTATTGATTAAGAGTGAATTTTTATTATTATAATAGGAATGAGCTTATTTGCAATGTATTTGACAAGAAATGGAAAAACAAAATTTAATAAAAAAAAAAGAAAAACAATAAAAAACAACTTTTGTTGTTGCTTGGATGGCGGCTGTTTGCAGTCGTTGTTGCTTCACTTTAAACAAACATAAAAATTACTAAAATATGATTAAAAAAAAAAAAAAGAAAAAACAAACAATTTGTTGTATCTGAGTGTGAGAGCGAGAGAATGCGTATTTGTTTGCTGGTGCAAAAAAAAAAAATTGATTTTTTTTTTCTCGGCTGCTGAATTTAAGCCTTCTTCTCGGCCTCGATGACCTCCTTGGTTGGCAGCACGTTCTTCTCGTTAGTTTCGGTGTGCTTCAATTTTTTCGCATCGAAATTCTCAATGCCGGCGATAAATTGATTCTTCTCCTTCTCCAGTTCAATTGCTAAAGATAGAGATAGAAATAGTTGGTTAAATTGTTCACATTTCAGTTGCAATTGCCTTAAATGGCCAACAGCTGGTTTTGCCAGTTGTCTCTCTCCCCCCTCCCCCTCCCTCTACGCACCTTCCTTATCGGGCAATGGATTCTTCTCATTGGTCTCTGTATGCTTCAAATTGTTTTGATCGAATGCCGTGATGCCCTCGAATATGGACTTTTGGGTCTTCTCGGCAGCCACATCTGCAGCAAAAATATTTATTGTTAATATTAATTACTAAGAATAGGAACAGCAATCACGACTTACCCTCGGCAGTTGGCAAAATGATTTTCTCCTGGGTGCTGGCATTCTTCAGTTTCTCCGTATTGAAGCCCTCCAGTTGGCTCTTCAGGTTCTCGGCCACCTTTGGCAAGTCCTTGAGTGCTGGTGCTGGGGCAGCCATCTGAAATTAGGCAAATTCATAAAAACGTTATAAACTCGCATATCATCGATAGTTGCCAGAGTGGGTGGGTGACACATCGCTAGCGGTTCGATAAAGCGGAAATGCACATCGATAACAAAGCCCGCAGCGCACACTCACGCAACAATAATGAATGTACATAATGTATGAGAGTGTGTGTGCGTGTGTGAGTGTGCCTTTGAATACGTTTTGAGAAACTTCGTTGTTTACCGTTGGGTCATTATGCGATTTCTTATAGCGATTACGCTGAATAGCAATTTATTGATTAACAAGAGTAGCCACGCAGAGCAAACACATACTCATACGGATTTGTCATGCCCGCAATGAGTCATGCTAGACAGCAAGGACGCGAACCCATACTGCTATAATTGACATATGTGTGCGTGCGTTCACTATTAAAGCAACAGCAACAAACGATATGGAGAGAGAGAGAGAGGGAAGGAGAGAGACAGAGAGAAAGAGCGGAAAAATGAGCATGAGCAAGAAGTTCAGCGAACCTACCGCAGCAGCGCAACAGCAGCAGATTAAATTCCAATTGGACAAGCAACTGGAGGCGAGTGTACCGTTATCAGTACTTGTTTTGTTAGCCGGCGTTCAGCTGCTAGGAAAATAACTGAACTGCATTTACGTTTATTTTTAGTTGCAAATCAACCAAAATGTGCCCAGCTAAACATTGTCCATTGTTCATGCCCGTATTCTAGTTAATCAACAAAATTATACATACATATGTACATGTCTGTATGAGTGTGTGTGTATATATCACACATTAAGCAAAAAAGTGTTCATGCTTCATAAGAAATAGATCGATCGCAACGTTGCCAAAGTCGGTTGTATTTAATTTCAACACCCCACAAAGGCACACAATCTGCCCCATCTGCCTTCTCGCTCACACTTTAACCAATTTTGTTTGCGCACATACATATAAAGAAAGCGCTTCATTAATATCGATAGCAAGTGCATACATATGCAAGGCAATGCATGTGCATGTGTATGTATATGTGTATGTGTGTGTGTATCTGAATTGCACAAGCAAGCGTTACAAGGGCGGCAACCGCGCCAAAATAAAAATGTATATATAGAAATAAATCTACGCTTAATAGTCGCCTGTATTTTTATTGACCATATATGGACATATTAAGGCGCGCCTAAACGTAATTCGCCCCTGGCCGATAGACGCTGATTGACTAACGGCTGTCGGCCGTCGCAGCGTTTAGTCATTCCCAGCAGCAGCAGCAGCAACTCCTTTTTAAAGCAAAAACAAACAAAGGCGAATATTGAAACTCTCTCGCATACATACATACACGTATACACGTATGCTTATGTACATATACGGCGAATCATGTTGTTTTTGTTGCGCTTTATTTATTTTTTTTTTTTGGGTTTTTGGGGGGAGTAAGTTTGCATGTTCTCGCCTTGTTTGCCATGAATCAACTTCCAACTTGAAGCGAATAATGGGTTTGCGATGAATCATTTTATTCGTCGTCGTCGTCGAAGTCGCCGTCGCAGTTGCCTTTGTTGCTTTTGTCTCAGCCCACACTTGACGCACGCTCTCTCTTTTTTTTTTTTCTTTCTTCTTTCACTCTGCACTCGTCACTCTCTTGTGGCGGCGAATGGGGAGAGTTATTCAAACTTCGCTTCAGTTGGAACTGTCTTTTGTTTTGTTAATTTTTATATCTTGTTTTCGGGGTTTATGGCGCTGTGTGCGCTGATTGGAGCGGATGAGTAGATGTCGCTGGAAGTGTGGGGGTCATTTGGCCGGCGCCAGCTGACCGCCAATTCGCCGTTAGGCCAATTTTGACATTTGAAAGTATCGTCAAAAAAAAAAAAAAACGCTCGAGTATTAAAGCCGACGGCGTCGATGTCGCTGATGCGTGGCGGCGGAGGCGGCGTTATATACATATGTATGTATGTACATGTGTGTTTATATGTATGAACAGTCAGTGAGGCGAAAGCAGAGAATGTAAAAGAACAAAAGAAGGAAGGCAAATGACAGACACGTCCGTTTTACACCCTCGCCTTAGTCAGCAGACAGCCTGCGCTGGCTCCTGTTATGCCCACACACACATATACACACGCACTTGCATACATGCAGTGCACGTCTGCCAGTTGGTACATAAATTTCAATATGTGCGTTGAGTGTATGTGTGTACATATGCGCTCGCGACATTAAGTGAATTTTAAATATGCACAGCAGCACCGCAGTTTAGTCATTCGCTGTATGATTGTATGGCTGCGTGTGTATATGTATGTGCGTACATGTATTGCCTTGCGTTATTTCATTTTAAATACATTTTGCATTTCTCCTTTTTTTTTTTGCTTTAGCGATAAATCAAACGTCAATTAGGTATTATCGATAGCATCATACATGCGCCACGCCCTCGCTCAAGATAAATTTGCGCCGAGCACACACACATACGCAGGCTCGCATACAAATTTTAAGCAGGGAATGCAGCTTAAATGCACAGCTGCAGACTTACACACATACACACACACACAAACATGTACATATGTACATGCAATGTGTATAGACTTACATTCATATGTATGTGTGTGCTTTTGTGCGTGTATGTGAGCACGCGCAAGCCGCAAGCACATATTGTGGGGAGGATATTTAAAAGCGTCAAACGCCCCGCCCAAGCTGCAGCCGTGCAGACATACACATACACACACACAGACGGAGACTCACACGCACATAGATACACAGGCAAACGTAAAACAGACGCCAAAAAACGAAAAAAGCCGGCCGGCAAAGCTCTGACAAAAAAAAAAGAAAATGAAAAAAAGAAACTAGCGAAAAAATAACAAAGCAGCTTAAGGCCGTCGACTTAACAGCTGCTCAAATAGATTGGTAAAAATGTTGAGCGAAAAAATAAAGAACTAACGGAGTGGCCACCGTCGCAATAAATAATTTATAACAAATGTTAAAGAGGAGCTCAGCTCTCCTCCCGTTTCCGTTTCCCTCTACCCTCCTCGCATACACTCGCTGAACATTTGCAATGAATGGAAATGGGAATGCTGGAAGCGCAGCCACAACAAATACAGCAGCCGCAACAACAAGACAAGACAAGAGAGACGCAAGAACAGCGCCGCAAACAAAAACCAGTTGGCGTTGGCTGGCTTTTGCAGCAGCAGCAACAGAAACAGCAGCTTTAGGTTTTTTTATTCGCATACTTTTTTCTTTTGGCCCCCTACTTTCTGCAATTATGAAAAAATACGAAACGTAGCAAAGTATTGGAAATGGGGGAACAAAAAAATTATTTTTTAAATTGCCGGTGCAAAAAAATAGCACATTGATAAAAAAGAAGCTTCAACTCACCTTTAATTTGTGCTGGTGATTTTTTTTTTTGTAATTTAGGGTTTGGTTTTAAATCGCAAAAGAATTGCGCACTTTACAAAAAATAAATGCGGGTGGGTGAGTTGGCTGGCTGGGTGGAATTATATATATATATCTATATATATATATATCTACTAATGTATTTATATATATATGAATATATATTATGTGTTAAGTGTTAGCACTTGGCAAATTGGACACTTGCTAGTTTATTACTGTTATATCGCGAAAGCCTGCAAGCTAACAGAACGACACACAACTTAATACTGCGCGACAATTGTTCAAATCAAAAAGATGAAGGCGTACGGGTTGATGTTGGGGCTGTTTGAACAAACGCATAGTTGTTATCGATAGCGTCATCGAATGCATCGACGCTGCATTGCCTGTTATCGCATGCTGACCTACTCAACGATCATTCACGTATGGCATTTTTATCGAGCTACGATAGTTGATTTTTTTTTTTTGCGATATATTGCATAAATTTCGCAATGCCCATTTGCTGTGAATGCCCAAAGACGTTACAATTTAAATGTACATATATATCTATCAGGTAGATAGTAATATTACTTTAATAAGGCTCGGTTTGCAGGTATATACTTAGGAGTACGCCCCCAATTGTCTAAATTGCCAACATATTGCTACGCATAATTTGCCGAACGACATTCGTTCCAAACGCGTTCCATCTCGACGGGATCGCCAAAGCCATGCGAAGCTATGACATCACTATAGCTATCCGGTCCATTATACCTGGGTCTATCAAAGTGGAAATCATCGCAGTGATGCACGGGTATGTGCGCCCGCAGTGCCACCATGCCCAAGAAGATATCATCGAACCGGAACAGAGGAATGGAACGTCCCACCGCATAAATCTTGAGCAAGGCTTCCCTTGACAGGAGGAACGCGCCTGCTGTCACGTACGCCGGCCACTTGTCGAATGGGTATTCCTCGAGCGACACATACCACTTGCTGAACTTGTGCCGCAATGGAGCGCTCTGGATCACATAGCCGGCAAATAGCAGGCTTTGATGATGGGTCTGGCGTCCCTTGCCCAGGAAGCGCAGCACATTCTTAATGGATACATAGTAGTCGTCATCCACGAACAGGTAGAAGTCGCTGGTGTTGAAGTGTTCACTGGCCCAGCGCATGCCCATCATTGTCTTGATTGTATTATTAAAGTACGCATCCACAAAGTCCGCACGGATTATGTCTCCATGCTGCTTCGCCTCCTCTAGTGCCGCATCCTTGACGCCTGCGCCTTCGGCGGGCGTGCCCAGCATAAAGGCGCGCTTGATGTGCACGTCGGAGAAGCGAGCCTCGTAGCCCCAAGTTTTGCGAATGGCCTGGCGTCGATCCGCATTACCAATAGCGCTCTTTACCAGAATTGTCAATCGGGGCGGATCCGCTGAGTCGCGATTATTTGTGAATGCGGGTAATTGAAGAAACTTGTAGTCCAGCGACGGTGGGGCAGAGTCATTGTGTAGCGGATAGTGGTAATACGTCTCAAAGTCTAGTTCGTACAGATGCGTTAGAATTCCACAAAAGTCAACCAGGAAGATTAGAGGTACGGCAAGCGCACATTTTAGCAGTAATTTGTAATGTTTTTTTAACATTGCGCGATGGCCACTAGCGATGACAATAACAATGCCCTTCATCATTATACGATAGATCGAATGTCTATCGATAGGTGTAAGCAAACAAGATTTGAATTCAAATTTGTTTTATGTGCCATTTTATTATAGTAAAATCTCGTTAAACCGCAAATAATTTACATAACCCTAAATAGACTAACCAAACATAATATTATTTACAGTTGAAAGTTGGATTTTCGTGAACTGCAAAAAAGCACTTTAAAATACCTAACAAAATACCAAAGCAGTATAGCGTCTGCAGAAGTACAAAGAAGAAGATCGCGAATTTAGTTTGTAACAACATATGTTTTGATATTGCGCTAAGAGATTTAAAATGTCGGAGGAAACAGTGACTGGAACCAAACCAGCCAGCAGTTCGACCCTAACAACAGCACAGCGTGCGCGCATCGAGCGTAATCAGGCCAAGGCAAAAAAGCTACGGGAGGCCAAGCTCGTGTCGCATCCCTATAAGAATGCAAAAAAGTAAATAAACGCAAATATATATGTATATCCCTTCGATACCAAGTTCATTGTATCTATTGTAGCAATGGCAACGAAGAGTTGCCTGTTGCTGGCCAGGACAATGCCGTCATAAAGGTGCAGGGCAGCAAATTCATCGACACAGGAGGTGGCTTCCTCTTGGAGCAGCCTGTCATCGCTGGGAACAACGCGCCGACGGGCGCGTCGTCAGAGGCGGCTGTCATCGAGGACGCCATCGCCATACCCGTGGTCTATGAAGAGTGCCTGGACTGTGGCGATCAGTATGCCGACTCGTATTTATTCAACAATTTCGGGCATTCCGTGTGCGACAAGTGCCGGGACAACGAGGAGCGCCACTCTCTGATCACACGCACTGAGGCGAAGGCCGAGTACTTGCTCAAGGATTGCGACTTTGATAAGCGGGAGCCGGTGTTGCGCTACATAAGCCGCAAGAATCCGCACAATGTGCGTTGGGGCGAAATGAAGTTATATTTGCATCTGCAGGTGGTGCAGCGCGCCATGGAGGTGTGGGGCAGCGAGGAGGAGCTGGCGCGCCAGCACGAGCTGCGCGAGGACAAGCGCGTCCTGGGCAAGACTCGCAAGTACAACAAGGAAATGAAGCAGCTCCGCATGGAGGTCCGAAGCAGTATTTATACTAAAAAAACGAAGGGTGTCCATGTTCACGAATTCGGTCCCGAAACGTACAATGAGGCCGATGACACCTATACACATGCCTGCTTGACTTGTCCGTACACAGAAACATTTGAGAAAATGTGAGAGCGTTTTCTGAAAGCTCTGTCATTTAAAATCAATATTCATAATAAATAGTCTGTAAAGGGAATATTTCTGAATTTGAATTTTTTTTTTAAATATCGATAATACGCGTAATTCATAGTATTTTTATTCGGTGGTATTTTCATTCGCGATAAATGGAGGAAGACGAAAACGCAATGTTATCGCGAGCTGCCATCGCTATAAAAAACGCTAAACTAAAAACTCTGCAGCGCCAGCAGGAGCGAGAGCAGAGAGCACAGCGACAAGAACTTAGACGACAACTGCAACAACAGAAGAAAGAGCAAAATGCGAAGAAGCAACAGGAGAGGCAGCAGCTGAAGGAGCAAAGGCAGCAGCTGAAAGAGCAGAAGCAGCTAGAGAAGCAGCTGCTGAAGGAGCAAAAAGATAAGGAAAAACAGAAGCTAAAGGAGGAGAGGGAAAAACTGAAAGAGGAAAAGAAGAAGCAGATTCTTGAAGAAAGAGCAAAGAAGAAGCTAGAAAAGCAGCTGCAGAGGGACCAGCAGAAGCAGCTGCAGAAGGATCAGCAACTGAAGCAGAAACAAGAACTGAAACAGAAAAAGCAACAGCAGCAGCAGTCTCAACAGCAGCAGCAGCAGCCGCAACAGCAGCAGCAGCCGCAACAGCAGCAGCAGCCTCAACAGCAGCAGCAGCAGCCGCAACAGCAACAGCAGCAGCAGCCTCTACAGCAACTTCAACAGCAGCAGCAGCCGCAACAGCAGGAGCAGTCGCAACAGCAGGAGCAGGAACAACAACTAAAGTCCCATAAACGGCATAAGAGAGAACACAAATCAGGTGCGCACCGTAAAAGAAATAAAAATCGTAAAATGGAGGAGCAGTCGGATGATGAGAACTTTGAGCCAAAGACAAAGAAGATCAAGCGTGATTGGCTCAACAGTTATTGCTATTCAAACAAGGCCATGGGCATGATGAAGAAAATGGGCTACGAGGATGACAAGGGTCTGGGTAAGAGCAACCAGGGTCGTCTCGAGCCCGTCATTGCCGTGCAGCAGGATGGGCGACGTGGTTTTGGCCTCAAGCTGGATACCGTCCCTTGGTCAGAGGGAAAATGGGATCCGAGTCTGCAGGACGTGGAAATACCAGAGCCGCTGATTTGGCTTCCGCAGGAGGGCGACAATTGTGGCGCCTACACGCTGCAGCAGCTGATGATGCACATGGTGACCGGGCCGCGCAAGCTCACCATCGACGACGAGACCCAATTCTGTGATCCCGAGATCTTGGAGCACATACTCAGTGCAAAGCGGGTCTTTGACAGCTTGAACGATACGGAGAAGCGTCGGGCACGCTCTCGCAGCAATCCGTTCGAGACGATTCGCTGCTCCATCTTTCTGAACCGTGCCGCTGTCAAGATGGCCAACATAGACTCCATATGCGATCACATGTTCACCAATCCGCGGGACGAGAACGGCCACTCGTTAATCGGTCCGAATGAGCTGCTCTACTTTGCGGACATGTGCGCGGGTATGGATCGTGTCAGATCTCCTTCTCTATATATGCTCTAATCTTTGTTTTTATCTATGCAGGACCTGGCGGCTTCTCCGAGTACGTGCTCTACCGCAAGTCGTGGGAGGCGCGCGGCTTTGGGTTCACACTGCGCGGCTCAAATGACTTCAAGCTGGACAAGTTCTTCGCCGGCTCGCCGGAGTCGTTCGACACATTCTACGGCGAAAAGGACGACGGCGACATATTCGACATAGCCAATCAGAATTCCCTGAACGATTACATACGCAAGCACACGCCGCAAGGCGTCCACATTGCCATGGCCGACGGCGGCTTCTCGGTGGAGGGGCAGGAGAACATCCAGGAGATCCTCTCCAAGCAACTGTATCTCTGCCAGTTCAATACGGCCCTGAAGATCTTGCGCGTCGGCGGCAGCTTTGTGTGCAAGCTGTTCGATCTGTTCACGCCATTCAGCGTCGGCCTCGTCTACCTGATGTACAAGTGCTTCAAGTATATGGCCATTGTCAAGCCGAACAGCAGCCGTCCGGCCAACTCGGAGCGCTACATCATATGCAAGTACAAGCTGCCGGATACGGAAGCCATCATTAGTTACCTGGACCATGTGAATCAGCTGCTGAATGTGGCGAACGCGCAGAAGAACAAGGAGGATATTGTGGACGTGCTTGAGCTGTTCAATCACGACGAGATGATGCAGGACGTGCGCTTCATGCAGTACATGATTGAATCGAACGATACCATCGGGAGGAAGCAGATCATCGGGCTGCGCAAGTTCGCGGCATTTGCACTGAACCCGGACCTGAAGGAGCCGCGTCAGTCGGAGGTGCGCCAGCAGTGCCTCAAGTGCTGGGGACTGCCCGACAAGCTGCGCCAGGCGCCGGAGGTGAAGTCGACGGAGCGCCTGCTCGAGGAGCTGCTCTGCGACTGGGCCGCCGATCGCAAGTGGATGGGCGTACCAGCCAAGGAGCAGACATCCGTGTTTCAGCTGCAGAACGAGATCCTGAACGTAAACGACTGGCACTTCGTGCCCATTGGACGCGGCGAGAACAACACCAACGGCTGCACCCTCTTTCTGTGCAAGTCGCGCGGCAATCTGTGGCGCCACACGGACCACCGCAAGTGGGAACAGGTGGAGTCCACCTTCAATATCCAGCCGCGCTCCATATTCTTCGGCGAGATCGCGTTCGAGTTCAGCGGTGAGGCGCGCACCTCGCAGAGCGTCTCGGCGCTCCACATCATGGATGCCATCTGCTTGGGCGGCATCGATGTACGCCGGCGTCCGTTCCTCGAGCGCTACAGCATGTGCGAGAAGTTTGCGCGCAGCATGAACAAGCCGTACAAAAAGGATCAGACGTGCGGCACCATCCGTTGCAAGCCGCTCTTCCGGCTCCAGGACATGAATAAATTCTTCGGCCAGATGCGTCCGTACACGCTCAAGGACAACTCGCAGCGCCTGGGCCTCATGTTCGAAGATCGCAAGTTCTTCGTGCCCGGCGGCATCATCCTCTCCTGCGAGATGACGTCCAACTTTGTGACCGCCCATTCGCGGTCTGCGCATCAGATATACTACTTCAATACCGTAAAGAACGTGTCCCTGTTCAAGCATCAGATCGATCCTGTGCACTTCAATGAGGTATTTGCGTCGTTCCGCCACAACTACACGAGACGCAAATTGTGGAAGTGGACGAGCATATTGCAGGTGGACGCATTCGCCTCCGAAGAGCGTCCAACGATTCTGTATCGCAGTGATTTCGAGAAGTTTATCCGTAACAAGCTAATGCCCATCCAGCAAAATCCCAATCCCAATGCTAATTCCAATCCAAATACCAATACCAATCCCAATACCAATCCCAATCCCAATCAGAATCATAATCAACTAAGAAACTGAGCTCGGATTTCGTCAAGCGAATTCGATTTTAATGGATTTTTCTTTAAATTTTTTTTTTTAAACATCAAACGATATAACGTTATTTTGTGTTTGATTGTTATATAATTATATATATATATATATATACATGCATAAGTAAACACACACATGCATAAGTAAACACACATACAAGCATAAGTAAACACACAACACGCATATGTAAGCATACATACATACATAAGTAGAACTAATTTGGATCTAGACAATTTGCATAGGTTTTAATCAAAATTCGTATTTGTAATTATTATCAATTTACTTGTTTGGCATTGTTAAACGTTTTAACACAGAATTAAGTTCAACAAAATTAGTATACATAAGTGTATTTGTAATAACCAATGGCTGGGCCCATCTTAAGAGAAGATTGATCAAACCAAAATAATAATAAAACATATACACGCAGAAACAGGCATAGCAGAAATCAATATTAAAATACAAATGATTGACAGCATAAACCAAAGATTGTTTTCATTTTGTGGAATTATTTTTGTTTTTCGCACATACATACATACATATCTCGACTGTGATATGTGGGGAATTCCCCGTTTTCTTGTGTGCAATTTGCAGAGCATATCGATATCTAGCTATCGATTGCATATTGACTCCACAAATGCGAAAGAGAGCGAGAATGTTGGTTGGCAGATCTCTGTAGATATTGGCTGAGCCGAGTTTGATTATGTACATATGTAATTTTCCATTATTTGCCATTTGATGTGCTTCATATTTATTCTGCCACTCAGCCCTGAGCTGCGCCTCAAACGTGAAGCAATGATATTCTCTACACAAGTGAATCAGAATCATCCTTATAACATTCCTAGTGGATAACAGAGGAGGAGATCTACCTCAACAGCATCTAGACCAAGTGACGAACTTCCACTATCTGGCTAGAGCTGCAACTCTTCATATGTACATATGTAGATCCTCGCCAGCTATCGTAAGAATGAATGAAAATCAATTGCAAGCATATAACAAACACACACATATACAAACTATTCACATTTATTGTTATATATAAATGCTAAATGCTGGTATCTAAGCTAAAGTTGTTTACTTTAATAGTTTCAGATGCTTCACATATTTGTGTACCACATCCTTGACGTAGGGTTTGAGTGCTACACAGGTCGGTATATTCTCTGGCTGCTCGATCCAGAGTTTGTGCTTGATCTCGTTCTCTTTTAGTTTTTCGCTTAGCTTTAGCAGCGCCGCCTCATCCTTGGCCTCCAGCACCACTTTGTGCATGTTATCCAGATCCTTGAGATATGCCTGCGTGTCCTCGTCGTCAGCGTGGACGCTCATGACAGCGGCCGTTGCATGGCAGCATTGCGCAATCACTGCACCCAGTGGCCAGTTGAGGGTGCTACGCAAGTCACTACGCACCACAATATATTGGACTATGTTGGCCATTAGAGTGAAAATCCTTTCAGCAATGCGCTTAGCGGCCAGACTCCGTTTACATATAGTTCAAGGCATGTATGCTGTTCAATTGTGGCGGTCGGTCAGGCAAAATTAGCTGGGGCACACAGCTGCACAGCTGCACAGCTGTTTTGCTGGTTGCGGAAGCAGCGTATCTATTATGAACAGCTGATGAATCGTAAATTGGGGTGACCACATGTTAGCACACAGCCTTTAAAAGTGCACATGCAAATTGTGAATACCTCGCGTTTGAGCTGCCCACACTTGTTGCTACGGCCAAAAAATGTGGGCTGCCTATTAAGTGCTGTTCATTTGTGAGTTGCCTGGGAACAGTTTAAAGTGCATTAAAATACTTGCAAATAATGCAGTTTTATACTTTCCAGATTTTTTACTACGGAAAAGAATGCATGTATTGTGCATGTTATTAAAAGTCAATCAAGAGAACTATGTGTATAAATTGTGAATAGTAGCTCATTAGGAAGCCCACATTTTTTCAAAAATAAAAACTGTGGGCTGCCCAGTAAGCACCATTCATATTTGAATTTCCCGCCAACGAATTGTCAAATAAAATAGAATAACTTTACTGGACAAAGAAAAATGATCTATGTATATAGCATACTATTTATTTTAAGATAGTCACAAATAAAAACGTAAAGCATTTGGTATATCAGATTAAATATATATATGTTTATCAATCTCAACATGCATTTCTTCTTATACATACATATTTAATTGAATTACTAACTGTACTTTTGGTTTGAAGTCGCTGCGACTTTATTGTGACTTGTCAAAAACAGAATATTGCAATTTGTATTTTCTCTTTCGTTTTTACAACGATTTTCAGCTCAATTAATCACACAAAAGAGGATTGTGCAAATACGCGAGGGTCGCTCATTTAGTAGTCAAATGCTGTATGCGCTCTACGGAAAGATAGTCTGTCTACTGATAAGGAAGATGCCGAAGAAAATAAATGTGTACTAAAGGACTTGACCTATAATATCGCAGAGCAATTATCATTGAACATAATGAATATACCCCTTTAAATTAGACTTTTAATGGGTATGAGCATTTACCAATAGCTTATTATTGAGCCACCCTCGCTTTGTCGTTGGGTCAGTGACGTTTTTGTTTTGTGATTGGACAGAGAGACAAACGAATAGTTGCGAATTGTTGCAATCACAGCGGAGAGAAGAGAAGAGAAGAGAAGAGAGGAGAGGAGCGGGACGGGATGAGAGAGGTGAGTGGTGCAGAGGCATGGCAATGACATGCGTCCGTAATTAACGTCCCATTTTGGGTTAGATTATCCATGAATAATTGGAAATGACGCTGGTCGCGCCTGGTTCGAGTAGCCCAACGTGGAGTGGAGCCAACTGCAGCAGGAGCAGCAGCGGCAGCGGCAGCAGCGCAGATTGATGATGGCCGAATAGTTGCTGCTGCCATTGAGTGTCTGCAGGCCAGCCGGGCAACGGCAGTCGGCTGGCACCGGCCACGGCAGCCGAAAACTTTGCTAATTGCTTTTTGGCCACATTGGCCAAGGCGCTGCCAACGACAGCCGACAGCAGCAACCGGGCAGCGCAGTTATGGCAGCAACAGCAACAGCAGCAACAGAAGCAGCAGCAGCGTCCTAAATGCCATTTGCAACCCATCCATGTTTGGCCAACGCGCCAAGGACCTATTGCATTATGATACCCTGCACACCGCATGCGCACAATGGGCATGTTGTTTCCCTCGCTCATTATGAGACATGCTTATAGGTGTATACATATATGATATTCTAAGCATTCATAGATCACTCATTTTACTTTAGATCTGTTATGCATGCTAAATGATACCCTGTAAAATTTGGTGTTTCTGTCAAGTCATTCAATTGAATGCCAATTACATTCCACTTGAAGAAATCGTTCACCATAAGGTAAATATACCCTGTACACCACCTAGATAGTGGGTATGCTCTTTTTTTGGAATACCCTGTAAGTCATCTTTTAATATAGATGCGTTGTTGAAATTGCTATATACTTGCTATATACAGGGTATATAGAAAACAGTTAGTTTGTGGCATTTCTTATTGAGATAACAAATAGTTTATGAACCAGTTCGAACCAGTTCGAACGCTCAAATGTGCCAAGTGGAACTGTAGGAAGCAGAAAAGAACCAAGTAAAGCTGTGGGAAAATACAAACGTAATGTAGTTAAGCTAGTTAGGCACTAGATAAACCTGTATAGGGTATCGATTAGTCGAGTTAGCTTCAGCTTTGCACAGGTCGAAACTCATTTATCTCTGTTAGAGCGGCGACTTTTTGTGCCTCGGCCTACAAATCGTCGACTCAGCATGAAATTAATTACACAGACAAATGCAAAGATATATATACATATATATATATAGGTAGAGGTATAGACAGAGTTAGAGGTAGAGGTGGGGTCACTCTAGGAGTGGGTGCTACAATTTGAATGGATAGTTTTTCGCACTTTGGCATGCCATAAATTTCGCACTCACTTCTCAATTGTCAAAACAAATTTGCCAAATGTGCCATTCATTCGTTATGAGATTAGGGCCAGCTCCAGCTCCAGATCCAGCTCCAGCTCCAACTCCGTGCCCAACTCATATTCACATGCTCATTCATATCCTTATTCACATCTTCAGGCAGCTTCAGCTGCTCCCTCGGGATGCAGTCGCAGCTGCTGCGGGCTCTCCCTCTCTTTCTCTCTCTCTCTCTCTCTCTCTCTCTCTATCTCTAGGCTAGGGTTACAGTTTGGGGCTGTGGTTCAGTGACCGCTGTCCATGGCAAATGCAAATGTCATTTTGTGGCCATTCGTATGAATAAACGAAATTAAACGCAAGGAATGACCCAAAAAAAAAAGAAAAAAGAAAATAAAATAAATACAGAGTCAACGAAAAAGAGTTTGAATGGCAGCCCAACTAGCCCTCGACTGTCACGCCCTGCCGCCGCCCACTTGGGAGCAGGCATCAAAACCCAACGTCAATGGGAAAGGAAGAAAAGAAAGCAGCGTTTGCAAATTGAATCGAATTTGAATCGAGCCTCGGCTCGAGCCATTAATCAAAATCTTATGAGTGCGCAGCGAGCAACCCTCAGCTTAGTGGTAAATCTATATATATGTATATGTACATACATGTATGTATACTCTTAAGATATCTGTGCAAATTCTAACTATGGGCATTGTTCTATATTTTGGCTCAATTCATAATCGAGTTTCGTATTCGAGGTGAACTTTGAGCTGATTGCATCCATTGAGATCCTGTTGGGGTCTTGGCTAACTGGGACTGAAACATGTGCAGACTATCTGATTTCCATTTACCACAAGGATTGCGAAAATACTAGGTATAGCTCTAGTTGAGAGCAAATGGTTTAGTTTGTTTGAATCTTAAGATCATAAGAGATAGAGACAATAGGGGATAGGAGTGATCGAGCTGTTTAAAATATAGTAGACAAGAATGAAAAAGAGAGAGAGAGAGAGAGAGAGAGCGAAAGAGAGACAGAGAGAAAGAGAGAGAAAGTGTGAGAGAGTGGGAGACTGACAAAGTGATAAAGAGTGAGAGTGAGAAAGAGAGACGGTAAGTGGTGAGAGAGTGAGAGAGAGAGAGAGAGAGAGAGAGAGAGGGATAGGCTGATAGAGAGTGTGAGAGTGAGAGAGAGAGAGAGAAAGGCTGATAGTGAGAGAGTGTGCGTGTGTGTTTGAGAGAGAGAGAGAGAGAGAGAGAGAGACAGAGAGAGAGAGAGACAGAGAGAGAGAGAGAAATAGTGATAAAGAGGGCTATTTAAAGAGGGAAAGACAGAGCGTGAAAGGGAGGGAAAGGAAGAGGTAATAAGGGATTATTAATGAACATTTGAATAAGCGATAGAGATTAAGGAGAAACAAATGCAGCTAAAAGAATGCAATGATAGAGAATAATACAGAGAGAGAGAGAGAGAGAGAGAGAGAGAGAGAGAGAGAGAGAGAGAGAGAGAGACAGAGAGAGACAGAGAGAAAAATATATGATAATGAGAGATAATTAAAGAACCTTTCAGTAAGATACAGAGTTCCTAGAGAAACAAATGCAGAAAATTGAATTCAAAGGAAGAGAGAAAGAGGAGAGAGTGCGGGTGGGGGAGAGAGAGAATAAAAAAGGCCAGCAAAATTAGGTAGAGAGTTAGAGGCATCATAAAAGCGACTTTTAGTAAAGTTTACTGCATAGACATACAATATATATACATATCTATATACATATTCATACATATGCTAGATATAGCAAGTCCTTAATAGATTAAAGACACATGGAATGCTTAAAAGTGATACAAAAATGAACAGACAAATAGTTACAATCTTACTATTTACAGTTACTATTTATAAATAGATACATAGTTTATCTAGTTCGTATAGATATTTGGCTAACTAATTGCAGAGGTCAGCCACGCGCTAAATGCTATTGGGATGGGGATAGACTTTGGCTTTGGGTTTGGGTTTGGGCTGGGGCTGGGCTTTGCCAGAGTCAAGTGGATTGGGCTCATTTGGCTGTGGGTTAAGGACGTGCAGTCAGAACGTATTAAGAGTTCTGCCAGAGCGGCGACAACTTGTCACAGATGGAAGCTGTATTAAGGGAGTTACAGATGGTTTCCTGAGGCAGGCGGCAGGCGGGTGGGCGTGGGGGGCGGTTCCACATTCGATTAGCGTGTGGTGAAACTCGATGAGTTTTATTAGTAAATAATGGCGAATCATTTGCCAGTTGACACTCGTTGAATGCCGGGCGAAACCGTTAGAGCTGGCTATATGCCCATATCGAGGTAGCTCGAAGGACTAAAGGACATGGCAGAGCGTGTGCGACCGTTGCGGCTGCTAATGAGCAGCATTAATGAGCGCTATTTTTCACTGAAGTCACAATCAGTGTGCGTGTGTGTGTGAGAGGGAGAGGGAGAGTTGGGGGTGTGTGATGTTTGGGCTGAGGCTGTGCCAGTCTCTAGGGTATTTAAACGTCCAGAAGCAGAGGCAGCAAGTGTAGCAATGACAGCAGGTGCACACACACACACACACACACGAACACGCACTCACTTGTGCCTGCGCTGGGGCCACATGAAAATTTAATATGAATGCTAAAAGA